TATTTAAAACATTTCACATTCTCCACTTGTTTTTGGTCTATCTTTATTGTGACTGGGGTTGGTTGTCTCGAAATTTTCATTACTTTTGTTTTCTCCACATTCATTTCCATGCCATAGCACCTTCCAATTTCAATTAGTCTATCAATCATGCCCTGTAGCACAGTTTCTTCCTTAGCCATTAACACAAGGTCATCTGCATATTTCACAGTTTGAATAATTTGCCCTCCTACTTTGAAGTCACCGAGCCCATCCAGAGCTTCCTTGGTAAGGCATTCGCTGTACAAGTTGAACAGAATTGGTGATAAACAGCATCCTTGTCGAACTCCTCTTCCAATCTGCACACTTCCTGTCTCCCCCCTGTCCAGTCGTACTCTAACTTTCTGATCCATGTACAATTTGCTAATCAATCTTCTTTCACGCCAATCGATACCTGTTTCTTTTAGGATCTGCATTAATTTGGTCCAGTTTACCCGGTCAAATGCCTTCTGCCAGTCTATGAAGCAAACACACAGTTCTTCATCTATCTCCAAAGTTCATTCCACTATAATTCTCATCATCCCAATTGCATCCCTGGTTCCTTTTCCTCTTCTAAATCCAAACTGATCTTCTCCAAGTACATCCTCTATTTTCCTTTCAATTCTTCTTTTAAGTATCTTTGCTATTATCTTTGCTGTATGTGCAATAAGGTTTATTGTGCGATGGTCGCTGCATTTTGTAGCTTCTGTTTTTTTTTTCTTTAAGGCAATCACTGTAACTTCTGTAAAGTCCTTGGGCACTCTCCACTTTCATATATGGTGTTCATTAGTTTTATCAGTGTTTTCAAACCACCTTCTCCCAGTAACTTGAGCACATCTCCAGGTACATCATCATCTCCTGTAGCCTTTTCCTTCCTCATTTCCTTGATAGCTTTTTCCACCTCACTTTGTAAAATATATGGTCCTTTCCCGTCTGTATCTACTTCTTCTTCCGGTTCAACTTCTAAGGTTTCTGGCCGATTTGGTCGATCATATAGTACCACATTACAACACATGACAATTTGGTATCAGAATTGGTTTACGAATTTAAACACACCTTGACGAATAGCTGAATTTACGAGTACATTGAGTCTTATCCTGCAAAAAAAAAATTGACTCACAGCAGATGATGGAGATGGAAAAATTGTTCGAACGCCTACTGGCAAAAATGGACACCAACCAAGAAAAGGCAGAGATGGGCCACAAGGAATTGCTGGCCAGATTTGGAGACTGACAGACAGGCTGACCGAAGAGAACTGAAGGAAATGATGATGAAAATGGACACCAGCCACAAGGAGATGGTGGCCGAAACCAAACCAGAATGAGACATGGAGACTAAGGCCTGCTGAGAAACTACGAAGGCGAATCTAAAAGAAGAAGGGATGATGGCCTGCCAAGAGATGGAGGCATGTCTAGAAGAAGAAGAGCTGACCTCAGTGGACAGGAAACCTGAGGAGGCCCAACAACGTGAAGTCCCTGTAGAAGACGCCGAAGTAATGCCGGTCGGAGAACCAAAGAAGAAAAGACGTAGGGACCAAAACCAGTGAAAAATGAATGAACGGACCCAGTATAAGGATGGGTGCCGAGGAAGATTGGTTGTGGCCCTGCAGAGGGACAAGCCACCGTGCAAAAGTGGCATAGCAGAAGAAAACTGGCAGGAAGGTGTCCTGCTGTGCAACAGTGGCACGGCGCAAAAGAAACATCTTCAGGAAATCTACAACCCAAGGAAAATGTGGACCGCAGCACAAATTTGCTGCAGACAGAAATATGACTAGCCATGCAGGTGTGACACGGCACAAGGGAGATTTCATAAAGAAATATTCAACCAGGATCAATGCTGAACAAGAAACCTGGAAAGGAAGAACGGGAATAAAGAACATAGGCAGCAGACAGCCGCTATGCCAGAAGAAAAAGGTGCCAACCAAGGACGTCATCAGAGGGTGCAGATCAGGACAGCGATCGCACCTAGGAGGGAGAAGAAGTCACAAGACCATCTACAAGATTGTCAGCGTGAAGATCGGAAAGCGAATAGTCAGATCTTCTGTTGGCCTATGACAAGACAAGGATTGGACCTTGTGGAGGGGTCGTACCCCTCCAAAACGGAAAAACATATACTTCAAGCAGAGGAGGAGCCGGTAACGTACAAGTACTGGCCTCCCCAGCGAGAATGAATGTGCAATGGATGAAAGTGATGAGTGAATGTGAAACGACAGGATCGACAAATGCTGGACCATGGAATTGTTCGGGACGAACAATCTTAAGAAGGGAGTGGATGTAACAGCCAGAGAATAGTCACTGCAAGAGGAGTAGCTGGACAAAAAGAAGATGCTGAAAGAACAGCCTTCAAAGAAAAGGAATGGGGATGCACTGTTAGGCTATTCAGGATGAACAACCTTAAGGAGGGAGCAGTGTGACGTATTTGCGCTACACAGGATACCTCCTCCCCTGCCAGCAGTGATGTAACAGCATCGGAGCGCCGCCGCTGCTACGGTAACAGACCAGTCAACACTCCGCCCCCCTCCCCCACAGTGATGTAACAGCACTAACCACTGTGACGTAACAGGGGAAAACACTGGTAACATGAGGCAACAGTGAACGGTATAGAAAGCCGGCTGAGCAGTATGTGAAGAGAGCGTATGATCAGGAGTGACACAGTGCGGATCATGAAATCGCCAAGTCTGTTTCAATCTAGCAGTTGCCAAGTGAATGGCAGTGACTCCAGCAGGAGAAGTAATTGTGAAACTGCAGATGGCAGTAGTGGTGAAACTGTGAATTGTGTAATTGTAAGAGCGAATGAGCAATAAATTCACTATATCCAATATGGCGTGAAGTTATTTGTCGCATGACATACATACCCAACACGTGACAGTGTTATAATGTATACATACTTTTTTGATACTTCTGAGTTTTTCATTATATTTTAACATGGTACAAACGTGAATATTCTACATAATATTTTACTCACTAAGAAGTATTACTACTGAAGTTACTACAACAGACTTCATGGTACACAGTCCTTTTTGGGGAAGCTAATAGTTATTAAGATAGTTATGAAAGACCCTGCCTTTTATGGAATCCAAAAGCGTATTACCATGTTCACAAAAGCCTACCAGTAACCCCTATCTCACAATAGACAAATCCAGTGCACACTGTCAGTCCCTGCATCATTAAGGATCATTTTCATATTATTTTAATATACTTTAAAGGCATTACTGTTAAATGTTGCTGTACCAGTGCTGAAAAGGGAGCAAACTCCTGAATGGCCTAACAGCCTCCGTTATAGAGACATTTTCTGTGCTCTCGTTATCTCTGAATTTCCTTACCTCCAGGCATGGGTTTTCTATCCTGGAAAATATATCAAAAGCCTGTCAATCATTTCAGCTCCGTTTTCTATTATCATAGTAACAACTGGCATGTACAGAGATGAAATATTACATTAATATCCAAATTTTGGCTATCACGTGAATACTGAGCAGCATACAAATTACAATTCTGTTCATGAAGAATGAAATGTGTAAACTAACTCAGTAAGCCGAGCAAATGTTCGTTATTACCAGAATCAATTCTCAGCAGGGACAGGAATTATTTCTCTTTGCCTCTATGTCTATGGCCATGGCTGAGGCACCCATTACACCTCCTATCCTATGAGTATGGCAGGGCCTTTCTCTGAAGGCAAAGCAGTCAGAGCAAGAAACTGACTCCACCATAATCCAGTGCAAAGATTAGAATGGATGGAGTTTTCTTCCAGGAGGTCTGGTAACTGAGGCATACTCTTAATATTAAACACCCCAGGCAGTTTGTCAAACAAATAATGCTAGATTTTCTAGGATTTGAGGTTTTCACAGCAATGGTTATGAAGAGTTCAATCTTCTTGGATAAAACTCAATGTAGTTTGCTCTGCTTGCTGCCTGCTTCATGCCGGATTCTTGCTTGGCTTATTCTTCAACCCTGAAGATGGAAGTGACATGCTCCTCCGAAACATCAGTTCACTTTCAACAGACTCCACAGTGTTATATCCCAGAAGAAATATGTCTTCAATATAAGATTCTGATTATCATGAACTCCATATAACTTCACAGTCTTGTACATGGAGAGAGTCAAGTTTAACTGACAGACTCCACAGAGCTGAGTATTCCTTGAGAAGCTGCCAGTTGCTCAGCCCAGAGACAAGTTAACACATTTTAAAAGTGAAAGGTTTAGTAATATATGTACAAAAATTCCTGTTATAGTATGGCTGCTGCAGGAAGGTGGACGACAGCATGAAATGCAAAACAGAAATGCAGGTGGTGCAGTATGGAGGGCATTGTGCTTTGACATGGTTTGCATGGTCAGATGTCATGTGTCAATGCACTAATATAGAGTGGAAGCACTGAGAACATTAGCTGTTAAATGGTCATTAAGTTTGTACAAACTGACACTAGCAGAAGATCTCATTCAATAAATGGCACTTCTAGCACATGACATTCAAGTAATAACTGTAACTAAACAGTTTGGTTATGTTTATTATTTCCTGTACAAGTTCTGACTTCAGCATAAGTCTTATCATGGTTGAAACTTATACACTATGGCTTATTTCAATATACAATTTTCTTTCAAGGTAATTCACACAGTATCGTACACAAAGTAATTTACGTTATAAAAGACTCACTATCTTCCGTCCGCAATTCATGTAACAGTGTACTGAAAGCTCCCATCTGATGTCTTTCTATCCAGTGACATGACCACCATCTCTTTCTCATCTTAGCAAGTAATTTAACGAAATAAAATGCAACCATCCCACAAATAACTGCAACACCACCTCTCAGGCACAGATCTTAAATAAGTGAACCTCTTTGCATGCTGCTTCTAGAACCAGGTTCTCATCTGATTTTAACACACAACAACATCTGGCAAATACCATGAGAACTACAACTGTGTACAATGAGCTTTAGATCATCTGCATATCATGTTGTCATCTGCCTTCCCAAGCAGTCATATCGTACATACCTCCTTGTTCTGATCTTCATCCACGTCATCAGTAAACTTGACAGAATGTGTCCTTGAGGCCTCCTTTTCCTCCCAGTCATCTTCGTCGCTTTCCTGCTGACCATCTGGCGATGAGACAGAAGCTATGTTAGCTTCACCATCACTTGCCTCGTTAAGATCTTCGCCACTAAACTTACTATCACAACGATATAACCGCCCATCATAAAAAGCGTCTAAAACAGAAGAGAGAAAGAGCAAGGAACACAAACATGACCAAGCCTTGCAAAGGGAAAATAAAAGCATTCACAACAAAACATATACAACATGCAAAGCAGTTTGGTTGAAGCAACAAAGCTGCTATATTGCAATTCCAGAAAAGTTTTTACCGCACAAATGTTGCATAGCATACTCCTGATTATACAAGCACTTTAATTTTTACCTTTTGCAGTATTTAATTAAAGTTCATAAACCTGTGCATCTTCACACATACAGGAACTTGTGAAACAAGCTTTAATCTCCTTCCCAACTAGCCCAAGATGTGTTAACTATTTGTCCATCCAATGGTGCCTTTCCATTCTGTCCAAGTACATTATGCATTAGGAAGGTCTGTGAAGTAATTTTTACAAGAGATAAAATCAGTGCCCCATCAAATGCAACTTGGGTTGTTTCCTGTCAAAATAATATTCATCACAACTGCAAGTGCCTTCAATCCATGAAACATATTTAATCTAATTACTTGGCTTCAATATAGTCACCAGGAAGGCTGTGACAAAACCAGTAAGAATACAGCAAATATCACAGATTCAGTGCAGCATGCAAATCCCCAGCATAAGAAAATGGAACTCTTGAGAGGGTAATACAAAAACTTAATTCAATGCAAAAGCTTCAAACTAANACTGAAATCAGTTGCCAGATACAGCTAGAGAAGACTGAGAACCCGAGTGTGTGACAGTGATAGTGCTGTATCATGTGTGCTGCTGTTACAGTGAGACTGGTACAATTACTGTNTAATACGAAAACTTAATTCAATGCAAAAGCTTCAAACTAACAAAACAGTTCTTGCATTTAAATTTTTAAAAATAACAAAATAACTATGAGGAACTGTTTACTGCAAGTCTTACATATTTCTGATTATTTTAAGAACTTTTAATGTGACACAAACTCAACAGAGCAAAGTCCTTTCCAAGAGGTTAACAAAGGCTCAGCTGGTCAAGAAAATTCCATCTTTTATAGATCCCAAAGATTCATTGCCCACAAGAACCTCCAATGGTATACAAATGACTTCCAATAATACTAATCACACAGATATCATCATATTCTGATTAAGTGTATGTATGATATGAAACAAAGTCTATAACCTTCTCTGAAATGTCTCCTATCTATATTAGCAGCTTTGTTTCAATCCCTTCATGCAGACAATTACTAGGAAACACAAGTAATCCTTCTCGTGCCAAAAAAATGAGCCAGGTTCTGTAAGGTCTGCTATGATTGTACCTGGCCTTGACCTACAGATTACTGAATCACTGCATGTAAATTGTGTGTTTCAGAGAAAGCATGTCCATGTAAAAATTCTGGTATATGACTTTCAAAACTTTCAGCTATCAATCTAACAGTTGTTACAAAACAGTGCAGCAATTTTTGTGAAGACTGTAGCACCTATCAAGGCATCCACAGCAACTGGACTGCAGACTGAGAATAAACTCCATACTCCTCATACATTCTTGGTTCATTTGTTTCCTGGTCTATTTAACGCAGTGTCATACTTCCAAACCTGTGGGACATCCTCCATTTCTGTATCTTTATCTACTTTGACAGGTGTAAAATTATATGTGATGGAAAACAAAATTTTTGCTTCATGGGGGGTGGAGTCCAACTGGGTCCAATCAGCACGGCAGCCACTGACTGGCCTATTGTAGCCTGCCCCAGGTGATTATGATGATGGAGAATTTGGTGGAATGAAGATTGGCAGGGGAAACCGAAGTACTCAGAGAAAACCCGCCCAAGCCCCATTTTGTCCACCACAAATCCCACTTGACCAGACCAGGGATCGAACCTGGGCCACTGCGGTGCGAAGCCAATGACTAACCACTTGAGCCATGGCATGGCCTCTGATGGAAAAGAAAATATATATCTCATTACATAATGGATTAGTGCATTTTCATTTAAGTTTTGTGATAATTCTTAGAGCGCTGAAGTAAAATATTTTATTCTAAGAATTATGCTGTGCAAAGAAGACTTCATGTGTGCTGCTGTTACAGTGAGACTGGTAAAATTACTGTGCTGAAATAATCCGCTGCCAGGATACAGCTAGAGAAGCCTGAGAACCCGAGTGTGTGACAGTGATAGTGCTGTATCATGTGTGCTGCTGTTACAGTGAACCTGGTAAAATTACTGTGCTGAAATAATCCGCTGCCAGGATACAGCTAGTGAAGACTGAGAAGACTTGATGCGCTCTGGCAATCTGTAGTATGGAAATCAGCAACAAGGTTATAATTCTTATAGTTACGAGTTATGTGTTAAAGTGGTCAAAACCCCTAATGCCAATCCAAACCCCATCTATAGTCACCCACACGTGACACTATAGTTACTATAGGATCCTGATGATGGTGTATAACACACAGAGATATTGGGTTGTCGTCCTGGTTTTTAAGATAACTAAGAAAAACACAATGTTTTGGAAACTGGATCTGTTTCCGTCCTCAGGTGAGGGAAAACACCTATTCTGTTGGGTTCCTTAGATCCAGTTTCCGAAATGTTGTGTTTTTCTTAGCTATCTTAACAACCAGGACGATGGATAAAGTCCAAAAACCCAATATCTCTGTACGTGACACTATATTTATCCTTCTTCTGATTACTTAAAATCAAACCTGATAAATTACAGATTTATATTCCTGCAAACTCATGTTTTTTGGCCCTCTCGGTGCTACATTCCAACAGAACAGCTGCCTGCATAGTATCATGGCAGAAATATCCTAATATTATTACTTTTACTTTTACTGCTACTACTACTACTACTACTACTNTGGAACAGAAATATGCTACTATTATTACTTTTACTTTTACTGCTACTGCTACTACTACTACTTAGCATTCGTTTGTTTGTCACAACTGTTTGCAGAGAGACAGAAAGATGAGAAATTCAACAATGTATAAGCAATTTNTGCTGAAGTAAAATATTTTATTTCAGGAATTATTCTGTGCAAAGAAGACTTCATGTGTGCTGCAGTTACAGTGAGACTGATATAATTACTNACGTGACACTATATTTATCCTTCTTCTGATTACTTAAAATCAAACCTGATAAATTACAGATTTATATTCCTGCAAACTCATGTTTTTTGGCCCTCTCGGTGCTACATTCCAACAGAACAGCTGCCTGCATAGTATCATGGCAGAAATATGCTACTATTATTACTTTTACTTTTACTGCTACTACTACTACTACTACTACTACTACTACTACTACTACTTAGCATTCATTTGTTTGCCACAACTGTTTGCAGAGAGACAGAAAGATGAGAAATTCAACAATGTATAAGCAATTTCTTCACTTATATGAGTGACATAATGCAACCCACAGTTCCTCATTAGGCAGAAAATAAATACCAAACTGCCAGCACACTAATCAGGCCAACACAGACACAACAACCTGGATATGCATGTGGGTTGACACTGATGGAGTTAACCTCAGAACTGGTCATTCATACTCAGTACTAATTTGCTTACGCTCTGTACTTTTATAAGCAACTTCTCATGAGGAGTCCATGCTTCTAAAGACATTCCTACAGTGTATAAAGCGGTGGTAAAAGCTCTGTGCATACAAATAGGTCTTTAGGAGAGAAACCAGTAGTACAAAATGTTACATTGAATGGCATTAATTTATGATGGATAAGGGAAAAAAATGTTGTTCATTGCATGGTGAGTACAAAATTCGGACATTGGGATACGTCAATGTCCAAGATATCCAACAAATCAAGTGACAGTAAACTATTTTGACATGTTAAAATGTCACCTGGTAGTTCATTTATTTGACAACAGATGTACATGGATATTATCATAAAGTCTGCTGTAAATCACTCAGCCCATCCAGTCAGAGGGATAGATGCTAGTCATGCCAACCCATGTGAAACATGTTCAGACTTGTGGTGCAGTTGACAGACCAATAGCCTATACTCATTACAACATCTTTTCAATGTTCCCCAGGAAACTGCCGACCATAATCCCACGGCCCTGCTATTGTATTAACATTCACTTACATTACTTCTTGTTCAAAATGACATATGAACGTAAAAGTAAGGTAAAGGAAAAGCTATCCCTGTAACAGGCCATGGAGGCCCACTGGGTTGTGAGACATCAAGGCTCCCACATTGTCTAGACAAATGCTTCACAGATGGCAGTGAGGTGGTCAGTCTTATGTGCCAGCCACCCTCTGCCCCCAGGAAGATTCCTGGTACTGTTACAGCCTGAATCTACCTCAAGGCCACATTGAGGCTGGAAGGATTAAGTCAATTGCAAAATTCAATGACCTCAACAGGAACTGAACCCGCAACCTTCCAGGTTGTAGCACAGTGCCTCAACTAAGCTATGTGCCCCGATATATGAAACATGCAAAATGAAATGAGTGTTCACGTACAATAAATGTCATCACATAACAGTTTCAAATAGAAAAGACTATTAATATAACTGTAAATATAAATGGACAAATATGGTCATTACTGAACCACCCCCCCCCACATAAAAAAATCCAAGTGTTTGTTTAAGGGGAAGTGGATAGAAATTGCTACACTTGAACATTCCCCTTACATGCCTTTCACAGGACACAAGAATTTAAAGTTTTAACTTGGTCTCTTTCTAGGATGGGAACTTAAACGAGTGAATGTGAACACTTTATGGAGCTACAAGGAATGCAAGCATAATAAAAGAGACAATTTCCAGCACCTGCTGTAATCTGGGTGGGTTTTGCGATTGCAGGCATGAACACACACAGAAAGAGTTAACATAAGAAACTTCCCTTTTTTCTGCTCAGAAAGATAATCAATTTGAGAAAAACTCTCTGATAACCAAAAGAATTTTTTTTACTTAATCTGAAATCTTGTAATCAAGCTTACATTAAAATTCCAAGTACACAAAATGAACAAATGATAAAGGATCAACAACACATAGGAGTTTCTCTCTTCATACTGTGCTGTGTGGACACAAAAGACTAGAGGGTAAAGGCATAGATGAAGCTGAT